TGACCAGGGGCCCCTCGGGGCCCCCGTGGCCCCCCTTGGGTACGTCACTGCACTCAAGTGACCCTAAGGGCCCACTTGCATGTTTGATGCCAAAGGGGGAGGCCATGGCCTCTTGGCCTCCCCCCTGGATACGCCACTGCTTCAAGGTCATAAGATTATTACATTTTATTTGAAAAAGTAAGGTATTTTATGATTTACTAATATATGATTTCATAAGAAATTGGCCATGTTTAATTTATTTTGCATTTAAGTTCGTAAAACATTTAAAAATCATGGCTCATTTGGAATGGGTCTGGCCCATGTTAAACCCCATTCCCACACTTTTTTGGAAAAAATGAACTACTGAATATATAAGTTTAACTTTTATTTTGACACTCCCAAATTCTTCTCTGATCTCGAAACGATCAAAGTTTTGACATATATTTACCAAAAGATAAGAAAATTCATGTTTCAAAGTTATCGATAAACAGTAGAGATGTCGGTTTTCTTGGACTAAAAAAATGGCATCAAACTGAACTTTGGTCTCCGATTTCTCGCAAACGGGTTCGAATTTCGGAAAACCGACTTCAGTCTGGGACATAGGTGGCTCAGCTCTAGTGAAAACCGTTTTGTGGAAAAAAGGTGGCAGTCTTCCTTTGACCCTCGCCGGCACAGGCCATTTTGCGTCCTTCGACGGCACAAGGGGGGTTTGGTACGACCCCCCTCGCGTTTGGCCCCTGATCGAGCTAGAGCTTCGCGGAAAAAAACGAGCGTGTTGCCCGTCACAAGAGGAAGCCGATGATACCTAATTTTAAGGTCCTAGGTCATCGGGTGACCTTCCAGGTCAGGTCAATGACCCGAAAACCGGGAAAATCGGGACCTGTTAGCAAAGTCGTAAAGTGTGACTGCTATGTGGTTTTCCGGGGTGCTGATCACGAATATCGTGTTAGTTTTGATCAGACATGATGTCTTTCAGCATTTAGACCAGGTTGGGTCAGGTCAGGTCAGGTCAACCGGTAGGGGTTGTGACGGGTATTCCTAATATGTGTCAACCGCCTCTGACAGCTTCGTAACATGTTACGAAGGCACCAAAACTACTTCGTAAATGTTCAAATGGTTGCTAAATTCGAATTCAGCTCCAAAACTACCCTAGAAAGTAGAAACATGTAAAACTCGAAAAAGTGAACCGAGGTCACCCGAGGTCACCAAAGGTCAATGACCTGACCTGACCTTCAGGTGACCTTGACACCCACCCTAACGTATGGGAGCAACATCAAATCACATGTTTGAACGTTTGAAACCACGAAAAGCTTGCAAACGCGCGGCTAATGCGAGCCGACATACGCCGAATCGCAATTCCGGCCAAACATGGTCTCGGAAAAGAGATCACAGGTCAAAGGTCATTTGGGTCAGGGTCATGAAATTTTCAGGGTAGGTGTAAAATTGATCAATGCGAGGGTACTGAAAGTTTCGTCGCGATCGGCCGCTTTTTACGCGAGTTATTCGCGAAAAACCTTAGGGGGGTTGCATCACCCCCCCCCCCCCCCTGTGCCGGCGAGGGTTAATATATCCAACACAACCCAGAGGAACCCAGCGGATAAAATATTTACATAATATTTTCACGTATTTAATCATCAAAACTTTTCATAGAACAAAAGCATTGACTATCATCAAATACGCATTCCATTATTAAAATAACACCTACAAAGCACAAATCTTCACTAATTAGGTACCTATCATTAGGGCACATCTCTCTTCGGAGATGTGCTCTCACATCTCCCTCATCTCTCACGGTACATTATGCCTATTTCCTCGCGACACACAATTGCGCTTGTGGTCATTGATCAATAATTATTTAACAAGGTAAGTATATGAACATACTTACTATTGGCCTCGGAATCCGAGTTTCAGTTTCTGCACACCAAGTCCATAAAATGCTGCACACGCGAGCGACGCACCTTCATGCCACCAAGCAACGGAATTCAACTGAAATAATGGCAGACGCGCGCGAAACGTGCGCGGCGGTGCCACATCGGCTCAACCAATCAGCGAGCTGGAAGCCTACTCACGGCTAGATTACTAACCACATACTCATGATCCTGAGCATAAATACCAAGCATCGATTAGTACTGCCTAACACCATCGCAGGAGCTACGAACGAACTAAGGCATCGTTGGTAAATACGTTAGTTTTCCTGAGTATGACATGAGTCTTATCCTGAATAAAAGGGTTAGTTTCCATAGGGTGGTAAAAAAATTTCTCAGTGAAATTGAATTTTTAGGTATCCAAGCATACCTTTGGAACCTAAAGGTATGCTCCACTGCATTTTTTTCGTGACCAAAGTCTTACAACTTTCCCACGAGTAAAAACAAGCCAATTTATTTCGATATTCACGGCATTTACTGAGACACATTTAGACACATTTACACGTTTACCAACTTCAATACAGTTTTCGGCTTTACCATATGGTGGAGTATCTCTTTAGTATTGGCACGAGCGTTCGGAAAATGTTGGTATATGCTTTCGGCCCGCTCAGACTGTAATGCTTTAGGTATCTGGGAAACAGTTTTGGCCCGTGGTCATTTTTCGTATATAGTATACCAGCAGATTGTTTTGAGCTTGGTTTTGAGGTCATTGACCCGTCTTTCAACATTGCTTACAAAGCTCATTTCTAGCTATGCTTCTTTTATCTTTGCGTTGCCCAGAAGACGCGATAACTTTGGTGGGCCATGTGGCGATTCTATCCGTAGGTACGAAACGCAAATAAACGCCAATAATCAAATTTTTATTCAGGTAGGTACACGTCATTTTGGACTAGTCGACAGGGCAGTGTTGACAGCTCCGGGTGTTACCGTGCCGTGCTTCTTACTTCATTTTGATGTTCACGATTCCACGGTTAGGTACTGATGTTGAACACGATATAAGGGGAGCTGGAAACTGATATTTCGAAGTAAGGATTCAACTTCTTCACGTATTGTTCACTTTTTTCTTAGCGTTTCCCTACTTTTTATTTTTTAATAACAAAACTCAATGCAATATTAATTGTCATCACCAAAGCCAAATCCTAAGAAACTTGTGAGAAGCGTGGTTTTGAGAAGGCTCATTTTGCAACTACGTGCACCATATGGTAAAATAAATACCACACTTAGGCCGGAATGATTTCTTGAGGACCTCGGTCGTTGTTGATATTCCGCCCGAGGCCGAAGGCCGAGGGTGGAAAATCAAACAACGACCTCTGTCCTCAAGAAATCATTTACCGGCCCCGTGTGGTATTTTATATTACTGTATGCCTGGCCTATTCAAATACATTAGCCTGAGGGGTGTGGTAATAACTGGTGTAAGCAAAGTGACCACGGTCAAAAATGCATTACCAAGTCAACATTTTGGGATGGCCTCGTTCAAAAAACCGCTAAGAGCTTCGGTCTAGACAATTGTTTTATCATTGGCATACAGTAAAATACATACCAAACTCGGCCGGTGATAACTTGTCAAGACCTCAGTCCTTACTGATTTTTGAACTCGGCCTTCGGCCTCGTTCAAAAATTCAGTTAGGAATGGACCTCGGTCTTGAAAATTTATTTACACCGGCCTCGTTCAGTATTATATATTACCTATCATTTATTAAATGGCGTGAATTGTGAAAAAAGGTGGGCATAACGCTTCATAACTGAAAGGATGGGGTAATTTGGTACCTGTTGCCGTTTTAGCCTTTTTGTTCATCCCATTCGGCATTGCTTTTTTTAACATTAGGTCGACCGTCGAACCCAGTCGTTCCAGCATTGGTGAAGACCCTCACCTGCATTGCTCGAGATTGGTGAAGGATCCTTCACCAATCTAAAACTTTGGTGAAAGGTATCCTTCACCAAAGAGATACGTTGCTACACCTATGTGGAGATCGTTCCCGGCGCCAGAATAGCAGTTTTCATTTTTCCCCATTGACTTATAATGGTGAGGTCACGAAAATGACCTGACCTCATATGACCTTTAGGAAAAATCCGAGATATACAAGTGGTGGGACTCATAATGGATACTAGATCCTGCAAGTTTCATTTCCCTGTGACATCTCCTCTGGCAGTGAGGGCGTTGCGAAGTTGCGACATCTGAAGACCGTGCAGAGGTTCACTTATGACGTCATAGGTCAGTGACCTGACCTGACCCAAAAATGCGGTTGGTGTCAAAAGATGCGGCTTGGATCAAAGGTCAGGTATGCCAAGTTTCAGCTCTCTATCGCCAGCGTGTTCGGAGCTATCGCTAAAAAACCCTATGGGGGGGGGCGGCACCCGCCCCCCCCCCTCGGCCGGCGAGGGTTAACCCTATTCCTGGCGGGCTCCGCCGGGACAAGAAACTGGCGGGGGGGGGGGGGGGCCGATTCGGCCCCCCTTCAGATCTCAAAAAACTACACATCGCAGCGACAAACGGCGAACGGCGTTTTATAGGTCGTTTAAAGATCTACAACTTTTACATAAAACATTTTCAGGTCAGGTCAATATTGAGGTCACCAGAGGTCATCAACGATAAAATGTTTTGGAATTAGTTACCTATATAACTTTTAAACTAAGAAACATAGAGACATAAAACCAATACATTTTTTGTTGCTCTCGCCGAGGCGATGCGAAATAAGTATGTGATGACCTTCACAGATCAATTTAAAATTTGACCTGAGGTCAAGGTCAGGTCATTCATTAATGAGGTTGTGGGGTATGGTCATGCTGCATACCAAACGACGCGCCTTTACCAGGCGAGCAGTTTGGTACCACTTACAAGTCTTTAGCACCATCATGTCGTGATTTATTGACAGAAAAACGATTTATGACGTCACAAATCCAAATCCAAATCCAAATCCAGTGTATTGAGGTCTCCATTTAAATGGCTTTTCAGCCCTCTCGTCGTGTACATACAAGTATTAAAATTCGCTGACAAACACGTGAATCATTACGCAGTACGTACATAAAAGGCTAAAATCAACGCAATAGCGAAACACTAAACACCGAAAGAAATAAAAGACATCTAAAATACATGGTTTTTCATCCGCTGCCGACCCCGCCAACGCTGTTCCACGTGGACACAGATCTGTAAGGGAAACAGCGCCTCGCTCGCTCACTCTTAATTTTAGGTAGCTCCAACTGATGTCCGTGGGAGCATCGGGTGTGTCTCTGTGACACGTCCGAGCGACGCTGTACAACTTGGGCCAGTGCAGGCGGCGCGTCAAGCGAGACCAGCCTTTGTATAAGAGCCACATCCCGTTTCTCAAGCATGCCCTCGAATCGCTGCCATCCAAGCGCCTGCAGAGCAGGAGTGACGTGCTGCCGTCGGGCCAGTCCTGTGACGACACCTGCCGCGAAGTTGATCGCCTTCTGGATACGGTGCTTTTGGGAGGCAGTACATCCTCCCCACACAGTGCAGCAGTAATTGATGTGCGGGAAAACGAGCGCCTCAACCAGCAGCTTCTTAGTCTCGTATGGCAGCTTGTGTCTCAACTTGGACAGCCCGATCAGAACAGAGTAGCAGCGGCGGATCACCTGTGACACCTGCCTCTCCCATGTAAGTGCAGAATCAATGAATACTCCAAGAATTTTGGCGCACGGGGAAGGTGAGATTTCGCTGTTTCCGAATTTGATAGAAAAATGGTGCTCAAGTTTTTTCTTTTGTGACTTGATGATCAACAGCTCAGTTTTACCAGGATTTATCTTTAATCTATTTTGCGTATACCATTTGAGCGCCAGTTCTAGCGTGTCTTCGACTCGCTGTTTTAGAGTGGTAAAGTTTTCGACAGCATCAGAATCTAAAAATTGCACGTCATCGGCATACATTACTTGTTTTCCAAAAGGCAAGTGTGATTCAAGGTCGTTTGTAAAAAGTGAAAACAATTTCGGGCCCAAAAGCGATCCTTGGATCACGCCATGTGTCACAGGCAACTCCCCGACGTCACTACCCTGGATTCTCTGGGTCCTACCACTCAGCCAGTCAGCAAACCAATGTTCATCAATACCATACCATCCTAACTTGTCTATCAACCTGACATGTTCTACGCTATCGAAAGCCCGAGATGTGTCAGCAGCCAGTAAAGTAGTTATGAGCCCGTTTTCCATACTAGTGGTGATAAAGTTAAACGAATCAATCATTGCTGTTTCAGTTGAGTGTCCAACGCGAAAGCCGTGCTGACTTTTACACAGTACATGATTCAAATCGAGGTAAGGCGATAGCTGATTACATACGCATTTTTCGCAGAGCTTGCCAGGCACACTGATAATCGAAAGTGGTCTATAATTCCCTGGTTCACATGACCTCAGATGACCTTTGCCGGTGCCCCTGTCAATTAGCGGCACCAGATGACATAAAAGCTGTAGAATTGACAGGGCAACAAAACTGCTATCTCGGATTTATCAAATTTTTGGATTTTGACCCCTAAAAATCAAAAAATAGATTTTTTAATATAATAGCCGAAAAATCCAAAAACTTTTTTGAATTTCACAAAAACCAGAACATATGTGATAGTCCTTACCGCCTTCTATCCACATACCATATTTGAGATTGATACCTCTTTTTTTGGCCAAGTTATAGCGAAAAAAATGTTCAAAATTGATGACGTCAAATTTTCAAACTCAATTTTTGGCAATTCTAGACCCCGTAGCGCAAAACAAAGACCACCATTAGACTCCCCGTGATGAGCTGCATCGAATCAATACCCATTTTATGCAAAACTATCAACTTTAAAATTCGACCTTTTTTTACCTGACCTTGACCTGACCTTCACCAGAAAGTGACCTAAGCCGTATCTGATAGTCTTATAACCAACACCATTGAGTTGGAAATGAAAAATTGGCCATAAAACATGCATCGCACAACCTTACTACCTAAAGTTAGGTTCATGTGACCTGACCTGTGACCCTTGGTGACCTGACCTGTGACCTGACCTGGTAATGTCAGTGACCTCTTATAGCAACACATGTACTAGGCAACTGACGCCCCATCGCTGATTCTCGACAAAATGCGTTTTCTTCGGTGTTATAGCGCATTCCCTAAATGACCCGTGAACGGTGAAACATTTCATCTTTGACCTGACCTGTAACGTCATCGGTGACCTCGAGGTCAATGAAATTTGGTTTCTTTCGACAAATTTGACAGGCCTTTCGAAGCCGTTTGAATTTTGCGGATCCGTCCAGTAGTTTCGGAGATACGAGGGGGGCAAAAAATAGCCCCCCCCCCCCCACACCAGGTCGCGTTATAAACAGACCCCACCAGGGCGCGGGTTAACACCCACCATAATGCATAAGACGAGCATCATTTCACATGTTTTAATCTACAAAAAAGCTGGAAACACGCGAATAATGTGAGCCGACAAAAGCTGAATCGAGATGCCAGCCAAACATGTTCTCAAAAAATAAGTCACAGGTCAAAGATCGTTTGGATCATGGTCACGAAATTTTCTGAGTACCTATAGGTATGTACCTACCTATGTGTAAAGTTGACTACCTCGAGGGCATTTAAAGTTTCATCGCGATCGGCCGCTTTTTGCAGGAAATAGTTGCGAAAAACGAGGGTTTCCGTTCGAACCCCTCATAAGTGTGATCCCCCTTATAAGTTCGACTCCCCTAGGTAGGTACCTAAAAACATGGACAAAATTCAAGGTCACTTTCTGACTGGAAAGACGATATCGCATATCAGTAAATCTTTACCCTTTGTGGTTTTTGTTGTACAAAATGTCCAATGTGCCCATAGTCTAAGGAATTTCATCAGTTCAGCATGTAACATTCCAAAGTTATTTATGATGAATGACATGAAGAGCTCCTGTGATGGTTACCTTTAGGTCTAAATGAACTAGGGAGTGTCAGGTTGAGGTTTCCAATCAAGTATTTGATGCTTAAATGATCATATTAGACGGATCAGACTTACTCTCACTATTTTAGCCGACATTATTTTTGTTTGAATTTTAGGTCGGTTTTAAAAACATCAGAATTTACTGATGCAAAGGCGGTACCAGTTTCACATACTCTTATTTCATGACCTTGAAAATGTTTTTACTATATCAATATAGTTTTCTTAGGGGGCTCCGGTTGTTAGGTTTGTTCCAGGGAGACACCGGTTGGTCACGTGACTCGGAAACAAAAATCAGCTGATAGAGTGGCGGAATCACCGTAATCAAACACGAATAATTCCGGACGATAGAGCGGCAGTATAGGAGTTTTCTTTACAACAGGTAATCATTGCAATGTATTATCATTCTATGACCAAGAAACGTTCATAAATCATATATTTCTTCGATGATTACTGCCGCAACCGACGCGCATATATTGTAGCCAGCGCATAAAGCTGTGCTTTGCGATATTATATGTAGTGAAACGGCCAATACTAATAATTTGTAACAAAGCTCGAAAAAAAGATGGCATTCTATCTTGCTTCAACCTTCTACTTACGCTTTTATAATAACGACAGCGACACCATACGGCCTATCCACGCTATGCAACTCCATGGCGTGTCCGGCCGCACTCTGCCGAGTGTGCCGAGATCAGAGGGGGACCATCCGCGGCAAGTCCAGCTGCACTGCCCGGTACCTGGGAGGGCGACGCCTAGCCCCGCTCTGGCCGCTCGCTTCCGCGCACAACTAAGCTACCTGGCTAGGCCTGTGGGAGGGGAGGGAGAAAACCAACAACAGTCTGATGAGCCAATGGAGTCTGTGAGCCGCGCCAATCAGCGCCCTTCCGCGCGCAGACGGGAGCTAGAGCTTTTCATCTCCTTTCCTGTTTTCGCTGGTCCGCCAGTCACCAGCATCGTTCCGTGCTCTCCATCTTGGCCGATTCGGCCGTGTGCGTCAGCAACAACAGTGAGAGAGAGAGAGAGGGGGAGAGGGAGAGAGAGAGGGAGAGGAGAGAGAGAGAGAGAGAGAGAGAGAGAGAGAGAGAGAGAGAGAGAGAGAGAGAGAGAGAGAGAGAGAGAGAGAGAGAGAGAGAGAGAGAGAGTCTCGGATCACGCCAGGCAGCCACATGGGTATCTATTGTTTATTTATTTTCCAGTGATCGCAAGCGTTTTTGTTTGGAACCGGGTGTGATCAGTATTTGACGCATTTCTGTGATCTGTATGATAAAACTGAAAAATAGTGAAATATATTCACTTTAATTCACATATCGCTTTTGATTCATGGTACGGCTGCTTTATTTTGCCACAACATACAAACACAGCCGATCTTGGCATGTTTCTGTTCCAGAACAGCAGCTGCAGTGGACACCAAAAATGCATTCATGTTCTGACAACTTACTCCAAAGATACAAATATTTCACGACGAACTGCTAAGTTCCAAAGAAAGTATTTTCTCGCTCACAGATGCTCAACAAGAAGCGCACGATTGATTGCAACTAGCACGCTCACGATTTCTAAAATAGCGCTGGCCCAAACCTGCCCCTTACATCCAAATATAATATCTTAATTCCAGCCTCTGTCCTATTTATTATTTATTAGCGCACCGAGAGTGAATGATACCACGGCATAGCCGTCATATTACAGAGCACAAATTGCGAGACGACGTTCGAGACCCGTATCGGCGTATTCTTATCAGATCCGGGTGTCTCGCTTTCACTCTCAATCAACCCTGCCACACCATCAACCGAGCCACATCGGCTCCGACCATCTTGATCCCCGCACTGAAATCTGATGGCCGGCCCGTCATTTCATCCTATCCGTCGGCGCGCACTACACCCCAGCTCACCCTAAAGTGCACTGTGCGGCCTTCTTCGGATGACACCTCTGAGCATGGCGCTTGCCTTGCACCTGGATGCTTAGAGCCTCTTGTTCGTGCACGGCCGTTAGCATTTCAGGAGTCGGATGGTCTCGGCGGTGGCGGCGCTGGTCACCGTGGAGCCGTCGGAAGACACCGTCAGCTCGAGCGCCCTCGACCAGTGACCTGTAAAGCAGCGAGTCGCGGCATGTCAAGACGACCGTCACGTTTCAGTCACGAAGGCCGTTATAGAAGTCACGGCGGCCGTCATATGCCAGCCGCGGCGACCATCACATAGCAGTCACGGTGACCGTCACAGGTCACGACGGTCGTCAAATACCACTACGAGCCACGGCGACCACGACTCATAGCTCATAACGTTTCCTGACGCACACTCAGCTATAATAACAGTACATAAGCCTGTACACACATTTCTCACTCGAGAAATCGAAACCCGAACCTGAGACCCATCATACGTCACGACACTAAGTTGCAGCGGCACCTGCATTAGCAGACATCCCATCCCGGCAACACAAAAAGTTATCCCGAGCCACCCACCTAAGGACGCGGTGACGGGTCACAGAATTGCCATCACGTCGCTGATCTAGTGACGAAAAGGGACACAGCTGACCTGTGGACGCGTTGGTTCACACAATTAGGTACTGACCTGGAGATGATGTGATAGTTTCTGGTCAATGTCGATACGCGCGCCGCGTGGCTGGCCATCACACTCTGCCACCTCCGGATGACGTTCTACAGCTGGATCGACACGCTGTCTCCAGAACCACCGCCAGAAACAAGCCTGATGGAGGATGATATGATCAAAACTAAA